GAAGGTAGTTCCCGGTTTTATTGGAGCGTAAACTCAATCTATGATCAGTCCGCGGAACCGATTTTAGGTTTTTTGAGAGTAAGAACTCCCCCTCAATAGGAAATCCAATCAACCACTTGAGACCCCTCTTTTTTGTGATCATTTTGAGAACGGGCACGGGGGTTTACCTTAAAGGCGCATAGAGTTTTTTTTGAGGAGGTCCCGACTCCAAAAAAAAGATCGAAAAAACTTTTTTTCTTCTTCGAATTTTTCAGGGCAAAAAAAAAAAACGAAAAATGATTTTTCGGATTTTTCGTAAATTTCGAATTTTTTTACACGGTGAATTTTTTTCGTACGCGTTTTCAAAAGGTTTCGGGCTCTGTCTTACTGTAGGGTCGCGTGCTAACTGCGTGGCGACTCAGCGATACGTAGGTATTTTTCTCATTTTGTTGAAAAATTAAAAATCAGGGCCTAAGCTTTTTTGAATCAAATTGAATAGAAATTTTTCTTCGCATCATGTTGAATATAATATTGTCAGAATTTGATCGAAATTTATTACTGAAAAGTGCTCTGGAAACATGGTGCGCGCTCCTTCGGCTTAAGCGCGGCTTACTATCAGAATTTAAAGACGCAATATGAAATTTGCAAAAGTCCGTGTGAGATGGAGCGTAGAAACCCGTTTTTTCGAAATTTTTTCGGTTTTTTTCCTGTTTTTTTCGCCGAAAAGTTTTTTCGGAAAATGACCGAAAAAACCGAGAAAAAAAAAGTTTTTTCCGAAAATTTTTCGCACAGCCCTGGTCCCTATGCTGCGCCTTTAAGGTTTACACCCCCTCCCCTCCGCAGTTCCCAAAGTTCAACACATTTCAATTCATAATTTCTGATTAGCTCTTCATCATCATCTCCCTCCTCTCTTCTACACTTTCTTCACACCCTTTTATATCCTGGTCCCAGGATAAAATGGGGGAGCGGAAATAAATTAAAAGTGTGTGTGTTTGTAGATCCCCTTTCTCATGTTGGTCATCATCGAATAAAATGTTTGTGTGTGTTTGGAGAAAGAAACGAATTAAAATTGAAACACTCTGTGGTCCTTTTCCATCATTCGCCTACGGGGGGAGGGAATAGATGAGCAACACCCCAGATGAACATTAGCGGAATGGGATTGGATTTGTTCGAAACTGGTTGATTTCGACGTTTTTTGTGCGATTTTTCAGCGAAAACCGGTTGTGATTTTTCGAAATAAAAACAAGTTTAAAGGCGCAGCTGAAAATGTACAAGCAAGGGTACGGTGCTATTTTTTTTAATTTCCAGCGGCCGCCGGAAAATAATGAAAAATGCCAAAAAAAAAAACTCTGAACAATTATTTTTTAGTTGAATTTTGAGAAACTTAACTCTGTTCCAGTCTTAAAATCGTTTTTTATTGAACAAATTCCGCTAATTTTCGGAAAAATTAAAAATCAAGTTTAAAGGCGCATGCGCAAATTTTTTCGCAGGGGTCCTGTAGCGCGCGGATTTTTTTTGGAATTCGACGTCGCAAGCGCTGCGAAATGCAGAAAAGACGCTGAAAACTCGGTTTTAGTCCAAAAATAGCGATTAACAATGATTAGTTGCTTTTTTTACCATAAAAAAAAAATAATTTAAAGACGTAAGCCCAAATTTCTTTTCGAGGCTCCCGCGCCGCGCAGTAGTAATTTTTTGAATCAGCGCGTAAAAATGATTCCCGTTTTACAACTTTTCATACAAAAAAAAAAAACTCATCCCGCTCAAGTGTTTTCGCTGCTTGACCCCCGGCCTGCAAGCAATTTTCCCCACCCCGAACAACAAAAATCATAAAAATAACTTCCCCTCATAAGGCCTCACCCACCATTTTGTACTAAACTTTTTTTTATATTTTGGTGTCAGAAAAGGCTCTATTTTCGTTCCTCTGTCATGTTTGTTACGTAGAAGTATTATTTCTGAATTGAACAGGTGATAATTCCCTTATGGGCACCCCCCTCCGGGACCCGCCTTACTCACATTTTTCATTCAATTTTTCTCTCTATATCTTCACTTATTTTTTTGAGTATGTGTGCTCGCATTAGTCTCTAGTTGAATAACTTTTGAACTCAACTTTTTTCTCCCCGGCTACTCGATTATTCTATTTCCGGACCCCGGACCCCGGAATAAAAAGTTTTTGTCGAAGAGCAGTTTATATTGAAAACAATAGGGAGAGAGGGAAGAGCTTAAACACCATAGGAATATTATACTAGACTCTTTGTATAATGAGTAAAAGTTCGAAATTCCGGGTCCCAGGGGGCCCGGGGCGGGGCTTCGTTATGATGTATAGTTGTAATTAAGAGGATGATAGTCAGAATGAGCACGTGCTTTGAGTTTAAATCAGTTCTTGATCGGGCCCAAATCAGAGGCAAATACTCAACTGCTATGATGGTGATCAACTGCTATATTTGGCTCTTCTGCTATAGCCATAGCAGTTGATCCATAGCAGAAAAGCCAAAAATAGCAGTAGCAGTTAGACACTAGCAGT